TATGTTCTCACTCATAAGTGGAAGATGAATTGAGAACACATGGACACAGAGAGGGGAGTAATACACACCAGGGCCTCTTGTGGGGCTGAAGGGAGGGAACTTAGAGGACAGGTCAATAGGTGCAGCAAACCACCATGGCACATGTATACCTATGTAACAAACCTGCACGTTCTGCACATGTGTCCCATTGGTGTTTTTTTTTTAAGAAGAAATGTGAAAAAAAGACAGTACAAACCTGCACGTTCTGCACATGTAATCCTTTTTTTTTTTTTTTTTTTTTAGAAGAAGTAAAGGAAAAAAAGACATAGTACAAAGCTACAAAGCTACAGTAACTAGGACAGTGCAGTACTGGCATAATCACTGGCAGAGAATTAAGACCCAAACATCTATGGTCAACTGATTTCCATCAAGAGTGCCAAGATCATTCAGTAGGAAAAGGATTTGTTTAACAGTCTCTTAAACAAATGGCACAGGGACAACTGGATAGCCACAAGCAAAGAATAAATTTATGCCTTTTTCTCATGCCATATAAAAAAATTATCTCAAAATGGATCAAATATCTAAATGTAAATGCTATAACTATGAACTCTTAGAAGAAAACATAAGGGTAAATGTTCATGACCTAGGGTTTGGCATAATGTCTTAAGATATGATCCCAAAAGTACAAGTAAGAAAAGAAAAATCAATAATCGGACTTCACCAAAATGTAAGACTTTTATTCTTCAAAGAACATTATTAAGAAAGTGAAAACAAGCTCGGGCATAGTGGCTCATGCATGTAATCCTAACACTCTGGGAGGCCAAGGTGGGTGGATTGCTTGAGTCCAGCCTGGGCAACATAGCAAGACTGTGTCTCATTAAAAAAATAAAATTAAAATTAAAAAAAAAAAGAAAGTGAAAACAACGCTTAAGATGGAGAAAATATTTGCAAAGCACATATCTGATAAGGGACTTGTACCTAGAATATATAAAAAACTCTTACACGTCAGTAGTAAAAGGAAGGAAGGAAGGGAGGGAAGGAGGGATGGAAGGGAGAAAAGATGGGAGGGAAGGGAGGGAGGGAGGGAGGGAGGGAGGGAGGGAGGGAGGGAGGGAGGGAGGGAGGGAGGGAGGGAGAGAAGAACCCAATTAAAAACTGGGCAAAGAATTTCAACAGACATTTCTTAAACAAGTTATACAAATGGTAAATAAGCACATGAAAATATGCTCAACATCATTAGTCATCAGGTAAATGCAAATCAAACATATGTGATAGCACTTCACACCCACTAGAATGGCCATAATCAGAAGGACAAATGTTGACAGGGCCGTAGAAAAATCAGAACCCTCTTATGCTGCTGGTGTTGATGTAAAATGGTACAGACACTCTGGAAAACAGTCCGGCAGTTCTTCAAAAGGTTAAATATAGAATTACTATTCGACCCAACAGTTCCACTCCTAAATATATATCTAAGAGAAATGAAAATATATGTCTACACAAAACCTTACACACAAATGTTCATGGCAGCATTATTCATTAGGGCTAAAAGGTGGAAACAAACCAAATGTCTATAAACTGATGAATGGATAAGTAAAATATGGTATAGTCATACACTGGAATATTATTTATCCATAAAAAAATAAGGTACTGATGATACATGCTACAACACGGATGAAACTTAAAAATATTATACTGAAATGTTTAAAGTAAAAGCAACCAGCCATAAAAGTCCACATTACATGATTCCTTGTATATGACATGTCCAGAATAGGCCAATCTACAGATACAGAAGCAGGGGAATAGCAGAGTTGGGGGTTTCTTTTTGAGGTCATAAAAATGTTCTATGAGTTGACTATGGTGACTGTTGTACACTCCAAATGGATGAATTATATGGTGTGTCAATTATTTCTTAAGGAAGCTATTACCCCCCAAAAAATCCCAATAAATGTAAATGGACTAAATTTTTAAATTAAAACACAAAAGTGATGAGCTGCTAACATGGCTCTGCATGACATAGACAGGGCTGGGCTGCGGAAAGTGGCTAAGACTCTCTTTGGTATCTACCCAGCTTTCTTATCACTCCAACTCTCAATCTCAGAAACAGCAGGCCAGAGGGACTGTCATTTCTCTACTCTTATGCTCACTCTTTCTGGAAACCTGAGTGAGGTCCACCTGCCCCAAAATGAAGACACTCAGACTCAAGTGGAATGAATCAATCTCCAAGGGGTCACTTCCGCCTAATAAATAAGTGGCCCCCAAAGAGTTCAGGTCTCTAAAGGGGCCCACTGAAGGAATGACTGTTAACAGGAATTATCGGGAAATGGGCCACTCCTCAAGCAAATCCAGCTACTGAATTGGTGCAATCAGCACAAGGGAGCTGGAGGTAGAAATGATACAGATAATTCTCAGCACTTTCTGGTGGTGGGCCATGGAAATATACAGTCAGTCACAGTACTTAGAGTTTGCTTAGATGTTAAGCACAGACTCTGGAGTTTGAATCTGGGCTTACTTACAGTTTACTAGCTGGGTAACCTTTGGAAATTAGGTCCCACTGTACCTCAGTTTCCTCACCCAAAAAATGGAGAAATAAGTTTCGGGTAAGGCTTGAAACTGTGCCTGGCACATGAAAAGAGTTCTAGAAATACTGATTGTTATTATTTGTTATTATTACAGTTTCTTAACACTAAGCTTATTTGACCTTATCATAACCCATGAGAGGGATGGGGATTGTTAATCTCCTTTACAAATGAGAAAACTGAAGTTCAGAGAGAATAAGTGACTAGCCCAAGGCTCCATGGGTGGCTGCAGAGGGCCAGCACTGGAGGGCAGCACTCCTGGTACCAGCCATCCTGCAGCTTTACCACACCCTGAACAGCATCTGGTGACCCAGATTATGATTTTTACTCTGCCAGTCACCAGTTACCTGACCTTAGGCAAGTCACTTCGGTAACCACCCAGCTTTTTCCATCTATAAAATGAGAGGTGAGCTATGTAGATGAATACTAAGAGCTCTTGTTTAGCTAACATTCTGTGATTGCAAGATGAGCGCAAGCGAACGGGATGTGATTGGTCACAGAACAATGAGCAACTTGGAGAGTGGGAAGAAAGGGTTTTTCTAGAACCATGTGTTCGAAATTGGGAGTCCTCAGAGGGGCTGCAGGAAGGTGAGAGTTCCCACAAGTGCCATATTTGAAGGTTGAGGTAGTGCCACCTGAAGAGCAAAGGAAAAGGAGAACTCAGAAGAGGATAAAGCTGGGAACAGCGGGGTCCTGTCTGCGCTGGTGAGAAAGCACCAAGTGAGTCAGCTGTGACTGTGTCTGTGCCCCAGGGCCCTGGGTGTGGTGAAGGAAGTCTTCTGAGCAGCGGGCAGGAAGGGCTGAGCTCAGGGTGAAGGCTGGCAGCAGGGCGGGTGAATGGAAAATACCCATCTGAACTGCCGCATGTCCTGACTGGATACAGGCTTTAACAGGGTCAGTCTCAAAGAACCCAGTGTCCATGGAACAAACTCTGGGTGAGGTGTGAAGATAAAAGCAGATGGCAGTAGGTCGGATAAAAAGAAAAGTAAATTACACTTTAGAAAGCAGACTGTATTGAACCCATCAACAGCGAATAACAAAATACTTTTTAAATTTTAATTCCTGGAGGAATTAAAATGTAACAGTAAATAATAATAATAATAATAATTCCTGGAGGAATTTAAATTGCTCCTCACGCGCCCGTTTTTCCATTAAGGGGGTTTGGGGCTTCTCCGTTACGTTCATTGACTGAATGGCTGATGGAACGAATAAATGACTGAATCCCAGGTGGGGAATTAGGAGAGGCTTCGATGGAGGGGAGTCTTGAAGGACCAGAGCTCTGGGCAGAAGGACAGAGCTGGGTGCGAAGAGAAGGGGGCGTTCTCGGAAAATGCCAAAGTGCCCTATCCCAGAAATATCAGCGAGTGGTGGGACAGGCGCCGCGAAGGGCGCAACGGGGTGGGCGTGGGAAAGGCAGGACTCAGGCTCCAGGTGGGAAGCTAGCGGAATTCGCCGGCCCCAAGGCCCTAGCGGGTGGCTGGGACCCCTTGGCTCCTCCCACGTCCCTGCCTCCAGTCCCCGCGCGGACCCCACCACGGCTTAGAGGCCACGGAATCCCGAGCCTCCGAGCCTCCGCCCCCCGCTCCCGCATTACAAAATACAGAAGGGACTAGAAATGAATGCAACACGGCCTCGGCCACAGAAGGACACCGAGCTCCGCAGAGCCTAGCGCTCCCCTCGGACCGGCCCCGGGCAGAGCCCCCTCAGCCCCAGCTCCGCCGGTCCCGCCCGCGCTTCACTCCCGGGCCCCGGCGGCGACCACCAGGCGTCTGCGGCCCCTCCCCAAGTCTCCTCCTCGGGGACCTCCGCCCGGGTCCCTTCTCCGCCGTCCCATTCCTGGTTTCCCCTGGAGGCGCCTCCTGCCCAGGTTCCCCAACCAGGCAACCCCTGCCTGAGTCCCTCCCCGGGACCCGTCCCTGGAGGCCCAGCCAGCAGCCTCTCCCCGGCTACCACTCCCCGAAACCCCATCCCTAACTCCCCTCACCACCGCCTTCTCTCCAGGGACCTATGCTTGGGTCCCTCCGGGGGATTCCCCTCCCGGCTGCCACCTCTCGAGACACCCATTCCTGACGCCTCTTCCCCGCCGTTCCTTTCTGCCGCTCCCTCTGCCTGCTGCCCCTCTCCGGGGTCCCCTTCCCGGAGACCCCTCCCCAACGCCCCCGCCCAGCTCCGCGTTCCTGCCTCCTCCACCCGGGATCGCCTTCCGGGCGTCCTCTCCTCAGCCCCCCTTCCCGGGTCCCTTAACCGGACAACCCCAGTCCAGGTCTCCCCCGCCCCCCCCCCCCCCCCCCCCCCCCGCTGCGGCGCCCCTGGCCCGGGAGCCCTGCCCACCGCTCCTTTCCGGGACCCGCTGATCGCGCGCCGGTCCCCAGCGCCCTCCGGCCGGTGCCGTCCGCCCTCCGGGCAGCAGCCCCAGACAGCTACCTCCTGGGGGACGCGCGCTACCTGGATCTCGTGGATGCGGCTGAAGCCGTCCCTGCAGAAGAACTCCGCCAGGTTGGCGAGGGTCCGCGGCCCCGGCATGGCGGCGAGGCTCCGGGGACCCTCGGCCCGGCCCCCCGCCGGCGGCGCTCCCGGCCGCCCCGCGCCTTTGTCCTCCACCCGCGCCCCCGCCGGGAGCCGTGCGCCCTCGGGTTGGGGCCGCCGCGGGCCCCCAGCACCCAGAAGCCCACCCTGCTCGGGCACCAGTCGCAGCCGGGCTCTCAAGATCCGCGCCAGCAGGGCCATGGCGCTAGTCTGCGTCGGCTTGTCTAAGCAACTTTGTTTCGGGGGCTGCCCTTTGGGTTGCTGTTTCCTCCGTCTTAACTTGTCAGAGCAGCGCTTCTCCGAACTCCTGCCGCCTGGGCATCAGTTTACACAGACCCTTATTAAAGGCTCCCTCCCCGGGGGCTGGGAAAAGGCTGTGATTAGACGGCAAGAGAATGAGGTTATTATTTCTTCACATCATATTAATTCACACTTAAGCTTTCCTTGAAACCACCAAGTTTTAAGGTCCACCCCACTTCCAACGGTAGCCAAAAAAAGAAAAGTCTACTGGGATTTTAAAAATTATTTCCGTCCTTCGAAATGACTACTACTGAAGGTGTGCTAAAGAAATCTTTGGTCTTTCTTGCATTTTAGAAACAGTTCTTTATGATTTCAATTCAGATTATTGAACTCAGAGTTCAAAGGTGGGGGCGGAAGAAAAACGTGAGACGATTTTGCTCATAGTTCCTACTGTTGTAAAATGACCACATTATTATCTTGCCTCGGGCTTTCATAAAAACAATCAGGATCAATTAGGATGGCTTTCCCCTGGCTCATTGCTTTTATTCCACACACCATTGTAAGCGGTGAGGACCAAGAGGGTGAGCGACTTCGAGCGTGGGGCGTTTTTCTGGTGCCTCACAAGGACGGGTCCTGTTGCACAAGGCTTGGAGACGAGAACCCACCGTCATGCAGAGACGAGGAGAGGAGTCCTCACCTAGATTCAGAACCTAGTGCCGGTAAGCACAAAGAAGCGGCCAGCACAGGGAGGGACTGAGCGTGGGAAAAGTCAGAGGTGTGCCACGTGGTTTCAAGGAAGGGAACTTTACTTTTCCTAGTCAATTGTTCAACAGCTCACTGAGTTATATTATTTCAAGATTTCATACAGTTTGTACTCATGCACCTAAAGGTAAAAAATAAGATTTTTTAAAGACCCAAAATACTGTTACTAAGCATTTTCTTTTAAGACCAGAAAGGGAGGCAGAGGGTGGTGGCTCACACCTGTAATCCCAGCACTTTGGGAGGCTGAGGCAGGCAGATCACTTGAGGTCAGGAGTTCGAGACCAGCTAGGCCAACATGGTGAAACCCCGTCTCTACTAAAAATACAAAAAGCAGCTGGGCAGTAGTGGTAACTGCCTGTAATCCCAGGTACCCAGCAGGCTGAGGCAGGAGAATCGCTTGAACCCAGGAAGTGGAGGATGCACTGCCATTGCACTTCAGCCTGGGGAACAGCAAGACTCCATCTCAAGAAACAAACACAAAACAAAACAAAAAAGCAAGCAGAGGGGGCTCTGGCAGTGTTGCCTAGGCTGGATTGTGGTGGCTATTCACAGATACTATCACTGGGCACTACACCTTCCAATTCCTGGACTCAAGTTATCTCCCACCTCCGCCTCCCCAGGAGCTGGGAGTGCGGGCACATGCCACCATGCCCAGATAAAAATATTTTATTTTATTTTTTAGACACTGGGTCTCACTATGTCGCTCAGGCTGCCCTTGAACTCCCGGGCTCAAGCAATCCTCCCCCTGAGTAACTGGCATTACAGGTGCAGGCCACTGCACTTAGCTAAATATTTTATTTTTAATGAATAGTTTATTCCTTTACAACTCTGTGAAATCTACATCACATTTAAATAATTGAAGTATCATGTAGCTGAAGCAAAGAAGGCTATAGTCATTCAATTTACAGAATTTGATTAATAATGTCAGGTGTGGTGTCTCACACCTGTAATCCCAGGAATCTTGGAGGCCAAAGCAAGAGGACTAGTTCAGCCCAGGAGTTCAAGACCATCCTGGGCAACATAGCAAGACCCAGGTACTAAAAATTTCGCTGGGTGTGGTGGTGTATGCCTGTAGTCCCAGGCAGAAGGACTGCTTGAGCCCCAGAAAGCCACGACTTCAGTAAGCCCTTATTATTATTATTATTTTTTTTTTTTTGAGACAGAGTTTCGCTGTTTTTACCCAGACTGGAGTACAATGGCAAGATCTCGGCTCACCGCAACCTCTGCCTCCTGGGTTCAAGCAATTCTCCTGCCTCACCCTCCCGAGTAGCTGGGATTACAGGCACATGCCACCATGCTCAGCTAATTTTTGTATTTTTGGTAGAGACGGGGTTTCACCTTGTTGACCAGGATGGTCTCTATCTCTTGACCTCGTGATCCACCCGCCTCGGCTCAGTGAGCCATTATTATGCCACTGTACTCTAGCCTGGGCAACAGAGCGAGACCCTATCTCTTAAAAAAAGAAAAGAATTTGATGTATAAGTACTGCAGCGCCTCATTTACAAGGCATGATAACTGCAAAGTTTCAGAGTAAGACCTTGAAACCGCCTTTAGGAGCCCACATAACCTATTTGAGGAATAAAACAGGTATACAAATACAAGCCAGGTTACTCTGTCACAAAACTGGTACTGAATATGTTTGGAATTTGTGGCAATAAGCGATCACATCTAGTTATAGGGTAGGAAGGAGCAGTGCGAAAGAAAGGCCTCCTGAAGGAAGTAGCATTCAGGCAGGAATTGAGGAAATTCCTGTTTAGCAGGCGCAACATGGCTAGCCAACAGATGAAGAACGGCACAATCAACCTCCTCCAGGAGAGCCTTTTAAAGTTTCGCAGGGAGTTACTGGTCCTCAAGAAGTCATTAAAGGACCACATATGTAGAAGTCAATTCAGTCCATTCTGGATGTGAAACTGCTCAATGAAGATAAAAAATGATTTATGGTTGTTAAACAATCATATATTAAACTGTTCAATATAGATAAACAATGATTTTAGAGGCAGCTGGTTCTCTATGAAGTCTAATTAAGGAAAAGACTGAAATAAGGAAAAGAAGAAAGAGAAGGAAGAATACAGAGAAAGATAAGGAGAAAAAAGATTTAAACACACATGGAGACAGGTTCTCCAGGGCTCCCTGCAACTCCCCTGCTCTCCTGCATATTAGATATCATCTCTGCTGATGTCTAAAGCTAGTTTCCATAATTATAGAAATAAACAAAGATACAGTTTCTGAAATTTGTCTTGAGCTCTAACGATATTAAGTCAAAGTCTATTTTTTATTATTATCATACTTTTAAGTTCTGGAATACGTGTGCCGAACGTGCAGGTTTGTTACATAGCTATACATGTGCCATGGTGGTTTGCTGCACCTATCAACCCATCATGTAGGTAAGCCCCTCCTGCATTAGGTATTTCTCCTAATGCTCTCCCCTCCCCTTGCCCCCCACCTGCTGACAGGCCTGGGTGCATAATGTTCCCCTCCCTGCATCCATGTGTTCTCCTTGTTCAACTCTCAAGAATGAGAACACGCAGTGTTTTGTTTTCTGTTTCTGTGTTAGTTTGCTGAGAATGATGGTTTCCAGCTTCATCCATGTTCCTGCAAAGAACATGAACTCATCCTTTTTTATGGCTGCATAGTATTCCATGGTATATATGTACCATATTTTTTTTTTATCCAGTCTATCATTGTTGGGCATTTGGGTTTGTTCAAACATGTTTAAGAACAAATTTCTGTTTGAGTCAGCAAAATAAAGAAATCCAGTTCCAGTACCAAGAGAAATAAACCACAAAACACTTTGCCGAATGGAAACTTGTTCTACAATGGTAAAGCATGACTTTAACTTTAGCCAAATTACTTCCCAGGAGGTAAACTAATTCATGATCTCACTGTCCACTGAAAAAAACTGTTCTTAGTCTGTTCAAATCATTATACTATGGACTGGGTGACTTGTACACTTGTAAATAGTGCTGCAATAAACATATGTGTACATGTGTCTTTATAGTAGAAGGATTTATAATCCTTTAAGCCAATGGCTATTTTAGGGTCTCAGTACATTGGTATAAATGATCAGTCTGAAACTCTGCAATAGAGCAGTATGCTGCTTTCTTATTACTGTTTCGTAGGTAACTATTATTAGTGGAAAACATATGTGAACCCAGAAATAGAATAAATCATCCTGATTGGAAGAATATAATACATATATATGTAATGCTACCTTGGTCTCTGGGTTTTCTATAAAAATATTGCCTTTATGATAAAAAATTATTTAACATAAAAGTAAATGATTGTCATCATTGTGAGGAATTCAATGTGGGGTGGGGAATAAAGGATGGTATGTTGTAAGAAATCTTAAATGTAAGTTTAGAAAAACTGAAAAGATACTTTTCCAAAATTGGAAAACACTGTCCATTTGTTTATTCCTTTCCCTTCCAGTGAGCAAGAAAAACAGAAGTGAGGTTCCAACAGGAGGGCACCACTTGTCCCTGTCTGAACTGAAACCAGGAGATTCTGTACAGTTGTATTCCTTCAAGAAAACCAGCCTGTTGGCAGTAATAGAGAAGAATGAGCTGCTCCCAACAACAGGCAGGACAGCAGCAAAACAGGAAAGCGGGTTGCCCTCTAAAAGCCAAATAAATTCCATACACAATAAACTACCATCTGTGGAAGTAAAATGGAGAGACGGCGTTTAACACCTCCCGGAGCTCCAATCCAGATGACCACGGATGCATCTCTAGCATGCAGGACAGGGATGTCAGGGCTGTTAGGTAAGCAGAGGATATTGAAGGGTGTATATCCCTGGACTAGAACAGGGATAGTCAAACTGGAGCTCAGAAAAGGGAGCTGCTGTACAAGACATTCTAGGAAGCAAGGCTCTGAATTCTGAAACCCAGACCTCCTGGTCACGGTGGGGCAGAGATGATCTTCCAAGCTTCCCTGTGGTCTGCATGAAATTCTCTCAGCCACACCAGCTTCCTGGGCTTCAATCCCAAGCCACTGACCAGTTTCCACTTAATAATTAATGGGTAAAAAGGAAAAAGAAAGGTATGATCTCATTACTTTCCCCAGAGTTGTCAATAAAAAAGAAGAACAAGGCCAAGCGCGGTGGCTCACGCCTGTAATCCCAACACTTTAGGAGCCCGAGGCAGACAGAACACAAGGTTAAGAGTTCAAGACCAGCCTGACCAACATGACGAAATCCCATCTCTACTAAAAAGTAGCCGGGTGTAATGGCATGC